AGATGCGTGGCATGTGGCTGCTTGCACGGTTGCTTTTCCTTGTCACCTGAACTGGGGAAGGGGGGAGAAAGTCAAGCAACTAAATGACTTCACATAACGCAGGAGGCTCTTGAAGTTCAGCTGCACAATTCACAGGGAAAAACCAGTTGCTACAGTCTTAGAAATGTGTGATTCTACACTGTAGTCTAAACTACTGCTGTGCTGTTCAGCAATGCCTTTGCAATGGTTTGGTTCTAGAGGATGGCTTTGTTCCCTTGGAACGTTACAAATGTCATTTGCTCATCTTGTTAATCTCTTCAACAACTGTAGGTAAATGAAATTCTGTCTCGTTCCTCTGTGTGGAGTGCCTTCAAGGATCAGAAACATGACTTATTCATTTCTGAGACACAAACAGCAGGATACCTCACAGGTTAGTAACCCTTTCCTATTTATGTCCCGCATTATACTGAACTGTTACTTGTCGTTGACTCTGGAGATACTGTTTATCCTCGGGATCTAGTGCCATCGTGTGGCCTGAACACTCAGTGCTGTAAAAGTACAGTAAGTTTTTAAAACACTTAACAAAAGCCAAACATGTTTGTGGTTGAGAATGTATTTTCTGGAGTGTCTTTGCTGTACCTATTTGTAAAATATCAGTGCAGTGGAGTCTGGACACAGGCAAGTCTTGCCACTACCCTGTAATGATAAAGCAGAGATGTAATCAGGACTAATGGATGACAGGCTTTCCCAGGATCAGACTATTTGAGTTGTAGAACATGATGTTTTCCAAGGTTTGGGGGAGGAGTAAACTTTCTTCAGAATCACTGGGACTCTCTGTATGAACTGTGCCACGTGAATTAGGCTGTGTTAGTGGTAGGTGTGTAACTGTAGTGTTGGAGCAGTTTGAATGTGAATAGCTCTGGTGTGAGCCCATGTTCCAGTCAGACTCAAGAGCACTGGCAAGGGCCCCTCTCTGTTGGGGATGGCCTTGTACCTGTACACAGAGCTTGTGGCACATGCCTGAATGCATCTGTGGTGCATCCTGGAGTGCCCTGCTCGTGCCACCAAGCCTGCAGTGGCACCCTGGGCTGTCACCTCAGTCCCACTGAGTCCCAGACAGTGGCAGAGAGCATTGTATCTGTGCTGTGTGTACTGTGTACCCACAAAGGATAGCAACTGCTGTGAACATCCTTGCTGGGACTCACACTGTGTGGGCATAATCCTGGCACAGTTAAGTCATAGCAAATCGAATTCTGGTTCTTTCTTCATTCACATGCAGCACTTGACAGAGACATCTTTGACTATATTCTGCTGTATCACAGTCCAAAACTTTGCTGTCAGAGTTGTTGCTGTATCTGAAAATACTTTGTGTAATGACATCGTAACAAGCTTTGTCTGAAGTGGTGCTTGATACAAGCTTCTGACCCCTCAGCAGCTATCACCTGATGTTCAGTCTTACAAGTCTAGGCTCCTGGGTAAGGTTTGAAAGGCCTCTGTGACAATAGGAACACTTCCCTGTGCCACATAGAACTTTTTCTCTAACCCAAGGTAGGAATCTTGGTAAAGCTTTTGAGTGTAACTGAATTACCAAGCTACAAATCAGATGGCCATAGAGACAAGCAAGGTTCTCTTGAGTGTGTCTTGAGAAAATGAAGCAAGAGCCTTTAAGTCAGGATTTAGATGTTCTAGAAGCAGGTGGTTAGTATTTTGAGAGTAGGTATATGGCAAGACTTTCCACACAGGAAAGACTCAGCACTTCAGCTCTAAACAGGAGTTTTGTGTTAATTTTACCATTTAATGCTGCTTTGACAAAGAACACTTGAACACTTGCTTCAGTTGGAGCTGAATTTCATTGGTTTCTCGTAAATACTGTAATGAGAAATGTGAAGTAAAGGCTGGTGGATTACTGGCCAAGAACTGAAACTCCACCAGATGCTGTTAGGCTTGAGACTGGGGACAATACAGCTGTCCAGTTCCTTAAGGCCTGTGCTGCATTTCAGTTGCCTAATGTGTAAGTGCTTGCAAATGTAGAATGAAGATGCTGTACAAATGCCAAGTATAGATGGAAACTAAACGAAAAGCTTTATTTGATGGAAACCAAACTACAAGCTCTATTTTTAACCTGCTTTATCTGATATTCTGCCTTATGTCTTGCTTCAAATTGCTTTGCTATTTGCACTTCCCTTGAAACTTCCCTTGCTTATTTCTCTTCCCTCAGGTGTCTCTTCTCCTTCCCTTCTAACTGGCAGCAGTCCCCTTCACCTGAGAAGTGGGCTTTAGATCTGCTCTGCCAGGCAGCTTGCTCACTTCTGTGTAGCTCTCTAAAGCAGGTAGATACCATCTTGCAAATGCACTTGCTGCACTCCAAGTTGTAGATGCATGTCACAGAACTGTAACAAACATGTGGGCCTGAACTGCAAAACACTGATAAACGTGCCACCTTCAACACACAGGAGCATTAAACTAACAACTGCCTGCAGGGGCTGATACTCGCTGGTACTACTAAACTTGTGAAGTGTGTTAGGAATCCTCTGTGGTGGAAAAGCTTGAGGGACAAGAGAACTAGTGGAACATTTACAGCAGGACATGTGGAAGTGGGTCTGGCCCTGGGCAGATGCTGCTGCTGGGCTGGCAGAAGTCCCATCTGAAGCCAGAGAGCTTTTGTTACCGCAGACACTGTTTGCTTTGCTCTCTTGCTTGCGGGACAAGTGTAGGACTGTTTGCAAGGAGACAAACAATGCTCTGATGTTCTGGCTCCAGGCTGTGGTGTGAGGAGGGAGGCTGGGGCATGAAGGGGTAGCAAACCTGGGGGAACTCAGTGAGGATGACTTAAGGGGGGAGCATAAAGGACGCAGCAGAATTTACCATGCTCAATGTCAGCAGAGTGGGCTGAAGGTCTAACACCAGGTTGATCACTGTATCGGTGCAGGAGCGTGTTGTGGATTGGCAGTTTATTACAGTTGTTAATCTGGTAAGAGTTGCTGTTGGAACACCTCCTGCTGCAACAACAGCAGTTCTGGTTGTATTTGAAAGTTTGTATTCAAGTACATTTTAAACTCAAAGCTTCAATGGAGACGGGCTTTGTATGCAGTGCAAAACTGCCTACCCCTCCAGTTACTGACATTGAGATGTATTGATGGTGGGGAGTTCTGTATCTCCAAGATACATTCTTGGGTATCCCAAGAGTGCTGTTCCTCTTCCTAGCTGGAGGCACTAAGCTGCCTAGACAAGCACAAGGCAGCTCATGGCACTTCCTGCAGCTACACACTAGGACCCCTCTGCAGTGCTGAAGCAGTGGTGGGATGCTCACCCAAACTCACCTTGCTCCTGCAGTGGGGCTTCCCCTCCTCACTGCCACCCAGTGCTGGTGGGATGGAGAGTGGTTGGAGTTCTTCTGGAATTCAATTGGCACATCAGAATAAAGCATGCTGAGCAAGCCTGAGAATGGCCTCCACAGGCTACTCCACTTGGTGGGCTGAGTTAGCCATAATTCCTGCTATTCCCAGATTCCAAAGAATTTAAACGGAAGCTCTTACATGTTTTTGTTTAAGGTGTCTGGTTGACATAAATGATGTGTTTGAGTGTTACCAGAAGGGATAAAGCTGCTCAGTTGCTTGTTGGGTTCAAGGCTCCTCACCAATGTTGTGTTTTCCTCCTGAAAGGCCCTGGAGTCGCTGGTTACCTCACTGCAGGGACGACAGCATCTGTAATGCCCCACGTACCACCCCCGGTAGACAATGAAGTGGGAGATGGCAGCTAAGGACTGCAGACCCGTGTGAAAGAGGCAAAGGCAGCCTGGCCAGTGATGAGGAACAGCACTTTCCTCCAACGCTCTGAAGTGAACTTACTGCCTTTCCAAGTGTTATGACAGTGTTATTCCTTTTCTAAGACTTGTTTGGTTTTTTTTCTTTAGGGAAAAGTCAGTGATTCTGTCACACTGTAACACAAGGAAGCACTCTGTGGATCAGCTGAAATGGTACACAAGAAGTTTTTTTTTCTTGTTGTACGTAAGCACATTTTGTTCCTTTCTATTTGTTTACAAGACTGTGAATCAAACTTTCCTAGTTTTTATATTTTATGAATTGGCACGACTGGAGTTGAGCTACAGTCTAGAGGAATTGGGCTAAAATCACTTTGACCTCACCGACCCCCACTAAAAGGGCATCCCCTCCTTTTCCCAGTCTGACATGATCACTCCCATTGAACATTAATTGCAAAGGGTTTGTCCCTGCACCGGTTCACTGATGTCCTTAATCATTAACATTCTCTTCTTCCTGAGATCAAACAGCATTAGACATTCATATGTATAACTGGCTTGACCAAATTGACAGAGCTTCAGCAAAAAAACAACCTTAAAGTTGACGTTATGTAAGAAATTAGTGTAATTGTGAAATGTTCTATACATTATCCAGTATATAAGAACTTTCTATATTGAGTGTACATTATACAGATCATTCATATGTACAGAAAATTTTAAAATAAAGGGAATTAAGAGCCTTGTTAATGAGAGAAAGGTGGTGGGCTTACGAAGCTGTTCTTTGAAGGTGTGAGAAACAAGAGCGGTCAGAGACTTGAACTTGAGCATGGCTAAACAGGGCTCCTGGGCATTACCCAGCCTACAGTAAACTAAATGGGGTGAAACTGCTGAGTCAAAACTGCTTTGCCTACACTAAAGGGATAAAGAAGGCTTTGGCTCAGAGCAAATAAGTAACTTTAGGGCTGTTAGAAAATAGATTTAATTTAGTGTTGGAAAACCCAGACGCATTCTGGTATTTACAAGACGTTCTGCAAGGTTTTAAAAGCAAGCCCCTGATCAGTAAGTGTAATAATTGCAAGTAAAGAGTAAGAGAACGTGTATTGCTTCAAGGCATCCCTGCCCATGGCAGGGGATTTGAATTGGATGATCTTAAGGTCCTTTCCAACCCAAACCATGCTATGATTCTATAAGGTAGAACCGAGGTTTTGTATTCAACTTTACCTTACACCACACTATTGCACTGAACAAAATCTTTCCTGAGCCCTTAGATTTTTGCAGTTAGCTTCTTGGACTGCTCAAGCAGTTCCCACCTTGCGATGGTCGAGAGATGAACCTCGTCGGGCCCGTCTGCCAGGCGCAAGGTCCGGATGTAGGCATACCTGTGGGGAGAGCTGGGTTAGGGGGAGCAGGAGCACTCAGCACTGTTTGCTCCAGCCAGCCCTGTGACAGTAACTTCTTTGGAAAGGTGATCACACACTGTGGCAAAGTCTTCCTGGCAGGCCTGAGATGTGTGGGCTGGAAAGGGATGGTTTGCTTCTCCTCAAGGCTGTTAGGGTAAAGCTGAGCTTTAGAAACAGGCTCTCTATGCTGACACGAACTACTTCAGGTCCAGTGCCAGGTTTTTGTCCTTTTGGAAGGGTAAAGCAATGCAACTGCACTGGAATCTAACTGTAAAACAAAATGGTTTGAGCTTTTTGTAGCTTAATGGTATAAGACCATTATTTCAGGCTACCCAAGATGAAACAGGGGTTATAAAATGATTTTAAAAGGAATGCTTAGAATCTACAGCTGAGGCTCCCTTTACTCACATAAAAGCCAAAGGAAAATCCTGGGAAACTCCCGCTCCCCCAAACACTTGGATTGCACAGTCAATCACTTTAAGCACGGCTCGAGGGACAACCACTTTGGTCATGGCTACCTGGAGTTAGAAAAGAACCCACATGATCAGTAACAGGTTCATAATGACATGAAAATGTTTACCTAACTCTACTACTGAGGCTGGCAGCTTGCAGCCCGTTCCTCCCCCTTGGGCTTGGATGAGGGCTCTGTCGCTCCCTGGGTGAGGTACAACTGCTTCCAGTCACCCAAACTTCTCGTTGTGTCGAGACAGGTAAGAAACACTTCAGCTTCTTTAACTTCTAAGAGCTTCATCAGATGGATCCCAAAGTTTTTAACTATTTTCCAATCTCATGCCAAGCTAAAGCACTGCTCAAGACCATCTGTTTTCAACACAGTTACACTATGCTTAGCACTTGTGCTTTAGCTTGTGTTTCAGCCAGGGACAAGAGCCTGAGGCTGCCTGAAGAAGTTTTACCTCTTTCCTTGCTTTTCTGTTGCCCAGTGCGTCAATCTTGCTGGCTGTTCTCAGCGTGAGCAGCCGAGCCTGTTCTATGCTGAGGCGAGATTCAGCAATCCAGTGGGCAACAACCTCCTGCAGAAAGCAAAGCCAGCAGCAGTCCATCAATGCTCTGCCTGCCCCAAGGAAGACACCCTCTCCTTCAGCATCCCCTGGTCAGTCACTTGGAGGCACTTGTGTGCAAATTAAAGCTAGTTTGATGCATGTATGAGGTAAAAAGAAAGAAACCAGATCACTGCCTGCTCGCCCTTTTCCCTGCTCGCCTTTGCCTGCTTTTTAGAGCTTTGCTTTACCCGCTAGGACTCACAACCCTCTCCCTGTGTAATATGCCTCAGTATACAGACAGTGGGAGGTGAAAAGGGAGAGGAATCGGTTCTGTTTTGCTTCAGGTACTGGTGGTGGTTTGTCATGCAGCCAGGCGCACAGCTGCAGCGGGGCTGATAACTGTCACAACTTTCTGTTCACACTGATGATGATAAATCAGTAGCTCCCTTGATCCAAACAAAATTACGGCCTTGGCAATCCTTCCCTGCTCCTCTCCACTCCTTCCCCTCTGCAGCCAACATACCACAGCAAGAACAAACCCCGCTCCTGGGATGTTTGTCAGTGCAAAAGCTGCCTGGAGCCTTGGCCACACGCTCTTGCCGGCAGCGGGGATGTTGTAGCTGTGAAGGCAGGAGCAAACGTGCAGCACTCATGTCAGTGTGCAGCCTTGTGCCAGCAATGGTGGGCTGACCCCAGGTGGAGGGGTTCAGCTACACTCCACTGCCCACAGAAGGGTGGTGACAGCCTCTGTTACCCAAGGCAGCCCTTTAGCACAGGTTCCTCCCAGCTCTGCTACTGCTTTAGGACTTGCCTGCTGCTTCATCAACATCGGTTTTACTTCACTGAGCTGCTCAGACATACAGTGCACCTCATCCAACACATGAACTCTGGGTTATGGTTGTGAATGGAAATTTGGCACTGACACAACTGAAAATGTGGGTAAGATGATTCCCTCTGGATCTGTACAAACAATTTTCTTTAACCTGTGCCAGACACTAATTCAGTTTCCTCTTTCCATTGCCCTTGCTTGTTTTTTTCCAATAGTCATCCTAGCTATTGAAATAGACAGGAACACTTGAAATGTGATAAGCAACTACTAAATGCTGATGGTTCCTATAAAAAATAATGTCAGCTTTTTACAGTACTCTCTCTCACAAAATAGTATTTCAATTCTAGAGCAAGATAAGACCAAAAATCCCAACAGGGCCTTGGTTTGGTTTGTACTTTCACAAGTAAGTACAGATAATTGAGCAGAGAAGTAACTTTTCTAGTCATATATAGACCCTTGAGTGTCTCTGGTCACCATGAATAGAGATGGCTGGGTGACAGATTCACACAAAATGGTGAATTTGGATTGCAACTACAGAACCATGAGGTGTATGGCTGAAAAAAACACCTTTCCAAACTGATCAGTGGAAGCAGAAAGATAGAAACCATGGTGCCAAAACCTGTGTCCAGATCCAGCAAAGGATACCCAAGTCATTGCAAGGGGAAATAGAGTCATGGAATGGTTTGGGTTGGAAAGGATCTTAAGATAATCTAGTTCCAGCCCCCTGCCATGGGCAGGTTTTAGGTTAGTCTTTGAGATAGAAATGCATAATGACTTTAAAGCACACAGGGTTCCTCAGTTAGGAAATTCTTTTGTAGCAGATGGTTTTGTTGCAGGAAGAGTGACCTAACCTGTGATACTTGGGAGGATGCCAGATTTCACTCAAATCCCATAGTTAGTTAGTTTATAGTGAAAACTGGGAACCGGGCAGTGGGGATTTTCCTTTGCCACCTGAGGGACTATGAACAAAAGATCGAGGTTAGGGCATGTCTGTTGCAGTGTCCGTATTAGAGTCACAAGGTTCTGTGGGGGCAAAACAAAGGGGGGTGTCTGGAGCACAGGAATGGGGACATAGAGGGAAGGTGCTTACATGGTGATAGAGTTTCCTCCCAAAGGTCTCCCTCTGCGCTGCGCGCTGGCACATGAGCTGCAGAGCGGTTTCTGCCGTGCCGAGAGACCTCATGCAGTGGTGAATTCGGCCGGGCCCCAGCCGACCCTGGGCGATCTCGAACCCCCTGCCCTCCCCTGATGGAAAGAAGAACAGGCACATGCAGATTCCTTGATTCTTTGGGGTGATCCATGGCTCCGAGTGGAAGTGGCCTCTCAACCCCAGAGCTAGAAGCAAGCTGCTTTAGAAGTTTATTTTGCAGAAATCTTGCTTGTTTATGCCAACTAGATCTATGTTGACACACTGTTAATAACACTTCCAGCCCACAGCACACCCCAAGATGGTTTCTGAGAGGGTTTGATTTACTTGATTTAAATCAATACATTGAAAAATACATCTATGAGATTCATATGAGAATCTGGGGGAAGATTTTGAGGTTTCCAGGTTCCAGGGCTGCTCAAGACAGACAGCTCTTTCAGTGAAATAAAAATAGCACGGAGGTAATAGAAGAAATCAGGATTTGTAGTTAGTGGGAGAAGCAAAGTTAAGTTCTTCCTGCAGGAGGGCACAGAGGTGGCCTGCCTCTTCTTTCATTACTGTTTTCTGTTCTGCTGAGTTGGCGGCAGACACCGGGCATGGATGGCCACGGACTACAGCAGAATGCTCTTTTCAAAGCCTTGTACAGTCTACAAGAACTGGCTTTGGGGAAAACACTGACAGTTTCTGCTTTGCTCTACTTCAGGGCAGTGGTTTTCACAGGACAGCTGCAGCTTCCTTCAATCACCTTCCTGCTGTGCACATTTACGCTCAAGCAGCAGGTAGCCTGCTAAAGGAAGAGTGAGCTCCCTCTTGTGTGTGTTTGAGGCCCTGGCTCAAGTGACCACAGCTAACACGGTAACTTACAGTGATTCCGAAAATATGATTTGGCTCATTGCTGCATGAATTAAAAAGGAATTAACACTGAAGCTCACCCAGTATTATATTGGAGATAGGGACTCGCACATCATTAAAGTGGATCTCAAAATGTCCTCCATGGATCTCATCTGCAGGCACAAACACAACCACAGGGTAAAACAAAGCAGAGTAAAAATACAGGCCTTCAATTCCTAACCCTTTTTCTACAGATACACTTTACTGATTTATTTCATATACAATATTTATTAGTATTACTGCAGCTTCTGAGACTGCTGACAAATTCATATTGCTGATGAATATTGTCACCTACCCAGGTAGCCAAACACTGAGAGAGGTCTTATCAGCTTCAGCCCTGGAGTGTCCATGGGAACAATAATCATACTGTGCTGCTCGTACCTGACCAAGACCAAATGCACAAGTTAGGATCAGCTTTGAGCCTCCTGCTGTCCCCTCCCTCCACTTCTTTTATTTTCTATCCTAAATTTAGGCTAGTCCCATAAAGCTGATGTTGAGATTTACATGGTTATCACAGCGATCCCGTCTGCATGCAGCATGGCACGCATGCTTCAGCACTCTTTGAATCCACAGTCAACAAGTAAAAACATACTCCTGGCACTGGAGCGCACCACAACCACTTGTGCAAAAAATACCACTTGTGTCACATGCAAGTACTTCTGAATCACCCAATTTCCCCCCCCACCACCACCGCCCTTCTTTTCTGTTCTCAAAACATGTTTGTCAGCAGCAGCATCTTGGCTTGCCCATAGTTTAGGGAAAAATTCCCCATGTTTAAATTCCTTCAGAATATTTAAGGTCAGTTATCAGTCACATGGAACTGGAGGTGACATCCCAGGTCCCTGAATTCAGTATACAGCTCTAGCAAGCACAGTACCACATAATCCCCTCCACGAACTTGTTTTCAGGAGCTCAGGGGATGCCACTGTCTGTACAGCCGCCAGAAAAACCATCCTGTACATGCTGTAAGTTACTGCTCAGTGGAACCTGGCCAGATCTCAAGATAACCAGTTGGATTTGGGCTAATCAAACTTTGAGATACAAACGTTCCAAATTCCTTGCATTACAAGCTGTGCGATTTTAATGGAACCAGTCACGAAGCATTTTATTCATCACGTGTGTAGGTTTTTGTAAAAGGAATTGAACACCACACTTATTTTAAAGAAGAGGGATGTATTATATTTACACATATAGGAATGGAATGAGAGGTCTGACTAATGATGGGCAATGCTCTCTGCTGACACGACTTCACTTAACAAACATCCCATGTTTCAAATGTAATTTTCTGTACCTAAAGACAACTTTGTGGAAAAACTTAGTAGATAACTGCGGGTCTCTGATGTGCTGCTTGTGGCTTCCCTGCTCAGGGAAGCTCTGAAAAGCGTGGAGTTTGTTATCATTTAAGCAAGCAGTTCTTCCTCTTGGTGATTGTTTTATATGAAATAAATTGTAAGCCAGAGATAGCTGTTGGTTGAACAACTGAGGCAGACTAAAACTAACGCGACTCAGCTGAAGGTAGTGAACCCTCCCAAATTCATCAGTGCAGTTTGTGTTAGCTGCACAAACAGCAGAGCTAGTGCAAATCACCCACCGCAGGCAGGGAACAGTGAAAGGCTTTGGTCAGCAGCAGCTGACAGCAAAACAGGAGCTTGGGCACAACAGGCACGTGCACAGGTTTAAAACCCTCCTGTAATTCATGAGCACCTCCAGCTGATGGAGGCAATGAATGGTATTTCACTTGAAGTTTTGACAAGTAGTGACTCCTCCAGGAAACAAGGTTTGGGTAACTCTTTGAGTGTTCTTGGAATCCTTACCTGGATGCTGAGGAGTTTCTGGTTTTGCCCATTACAATTGCCACTTTGCAGTTTGGGTTTCCAGCACCTTAAGAAAAGTCACAAACACAAAACCAGTTTTCAATATAAAAATCCCAATGTAGACTCAAGTGAACTTTCACACAAATACATCTGACTCCCTTCCTTTCGTGATACAGGAGTAAAAGCATGCAATGTACTTTGGTGTTTATACTCCCGAGTAATCAGACTGAAACAAAATGTATCTTATTGCTTAACCCATTAAAAGGGAGTTGACTTGGAAAGGGAACAATGAAAAGCCAAACATCTAAACCCTCCAGGATCCAGCTCCATCATCTTTTCCTATGAAAAAAGAACAAGAATGTACTTGAAATGAAGATTAATTACTTCTGTCTCTATTACAGCTAGGCAAGTAAGCGTGATACAAAAGCAGACCTCAAGGTGAGATGCAGCCATTTCAAAAGTAAAACTTCTTAAAGCTCTAAAGACTGGAGGATTTGTGTGTGAATAAAATGCCTACCACGTTATAACCAGATCACGTAAATAAGGCTATCAAAGGGTTGCCATGAGGACTTGGCTACTACTTCAGCATAACTTCTCTGGCATGAAGGTTTTTTCCCCCCTTTATGATGATTTTAGTTTGCACTTCAAAGAAAGATCTGAGTGGAAATCATTACCTGAACATAATCTCTTAGCATTTCAAGCCATTAAAAACATTATTTGAATGTCTTCGTAGCATAAAGCTAGCATTTTAATGTACACATCCTGAAGATTCTATCATTAATTAAAATGGCATCTTATTTCTAACAGCCTTAATCCTCACTGTATTCCTTGAAAGGTTTCTTAGTACCAAAGCATTCTCTCATTCCTTTCAAAGTCTCACACAGACAATAAAGTAGGGAAAAGGGGGCTCGGTTATACCTGATGTGTGTAACAACCAGTGAATGTTTTATTGCTATCTCAATACAGATGACAAGCTTTGCACAGATTTAATTCAAGATTCAATCTGCACCAGCTCAGTTTGTTTTGAGGTAGGAAACAAAGACTTTTAGCTTCCCTGGCAGCTGTGTTTGGGTGCCTCTGGTCTAGACAATAAACCCACCTGGCTACTGAGCTACTTCCTCCTCAGAACAGCCACTGTGATGGCCAGAAAATAAGAGAGAGATTTATTTCATTCTGATAAGCACTGCCTGTTCTGAGAGCCAGGTTGCTGGCTATTTACTTTCCTCTTCTGCAGTTCAGCCATTGTTTCTAAAGTGGGGCTGTATTTGTGGCCCATGAGCTGTACAATGCAAGAATGCTAAAACAGCTGAGAGAAAAGCTGGGGAGGAGAGAAATAAACCAGCTTGGTTCAAATATGGTAGATCTAAACCAGTTGGCTCATATGGGTCACTGCAAAAAGCAGGTGACCAACCCCAAAAGAACACAAGATATGCTTTGCAATGCAGTGCCCTGCAAAGAGAAATGCTACACTCTTAAGGGGTATTTGACTCTTCTCCTTCTGCACAGAAGATAAAGAATTGCCCAAGCGGTGTTTCCTAAAGCACATTTATCTTGAAAAGAGTTTTACCACAAAGGATATTTTGACTTTTTGGAGTCTCTTCAAGAACTGTTTTGTAAATAACCCTCAAGTCACATCCTGCTTCAAAAAAAGGCAAATTTTACCAGAGTGTATGAACAAAATCAGATGCAGCTCTCATGTTGAACTTGATGATGAGTTCACTGAGAGCCAGACATCTAGTTAGATGCTCTAAATCATTAGTACAAGTTTCTGGAGGGCAAATGAATACCTCTGTTTCTTATGTGCTTTTTGCCATCTGAACACAGTCAGGTAGGCAGATTCCTGGCCTTTCCACTCCTTAGAGTCTGAAGCCCTGAAAACCTAAAACAAATTTTATGCAACCTTGACCCAGAAGTGCCAGAAGGAAGTTCTGCTCCATCACTCTAACTGAAAGACTCCAGTGCTTTGGAAGAAATGCAGAGTGCCTGGATGGAATAAACCTCTCATTTGTAAATGGCATTTTTACATTACTTACAGAATTCAAAGCAGCTGCTGGAGGTTGGGGGAAGAGTCAGAGAAGCCTGTCATTTTCGCAGGAGTTAGAAGCAGTTTTGCAAGAAACTCACAACTGAACAAATAAAACCAGTAGAGGTTTTAGAAGGTCAGTTTGAAGCCTATTTCCATATTGATAAGCTTTTAAATAAGCTTTTTCATACATACACATCTGCACAAGCTGTCCAAAACATTTAAACCACAACGCTGCTACACTGGAACACATCATTAACTAATGCATATGTTATTTAACTCTTCATGGCACTCACACAGGCAAAGACAATGAGATCTTAAAATGTGCTTAGAGGGTTGATCCCAATTCTGTTAGAAGCCTAATCTTTGCTATGAGGGGTATAACATGCTTAGGACTACTGACCTTCCCACAGTCAATTCATTCAGGTTCTTTCTGGTTGAGAGTACTAAATGTGGCACAGACATGGACAGTACAACCTTTACTTAAAGAAACTGCCCTATAACCCTGTTTCAGAAGCCAATAGCACTTAATTCTTGCATTCTAGTTATCAATTTTTCAGTGTCCAGTCTTTGAATTACTGCCTAAGATGACTTAGGCAAGATAATCTAATCTACTATTTGAATGCCCTGAGTACCTATGACTCTTGCCATGCTGGCTGCTGCACCGGTGAGCCTGGTGGGTTACCTCTCTCTGCTAAAGATTAGAGGCCTGTGGTGACATTACAGACTTGTCAGCTTCCTAAGAAGGCAACTGGTAACCATATGTTCTGGACTCTCCTACAAGAAGAAATTGGCCAGAGTAAGGTGGATGGAAGCATGGTATTGATTGGTGCAATATGGAGACCTTCCAGTGGAGAAAAGGAGACCCCCAAGAGCAGGCAGTAATTTCTGTTCACTAGCACTATGTATTCCATAGTTTAATCTCATCTTCTCCAGATAACTGGAGAAGCTGGGCTGCTGGGCATCTGGTTCACCTATGGCTGCAACCAGTACAGACAGTGACAGTGCTGGGGTTGTGCTATTCAGCAAGGGCTACAGAGTCCCATCACTGAACGTGGCTGCTAGTTGTTCCCAGCTTGAGCTCACAGTCTCACAGGGTGCCAGTGAGAGCAGCTGTTGAGTTTAGGAATGGTTTTTTCCTCACCTTCATCCCACTTTTACACAGTCACAAGTGCTTCTTAGTTAAACAAGATCCACTGTCGTTTTGCATTCACTCTTACTAAATATCTTTTGTTATTTTGGGTCTATTACTGAAAAGTAATGGTAACAAACAGCACAGGATTTACATGAACTGCCTTCCTACAGCCTGCCCACAGGACCCCTCAGGCACTGGTAACACAACATTCTTTTCTGTAGGCAACACACAGAGATATTTCCTTGGGAGCTTTCACATTTCTCACTTGACCTGTTGGGGACCATACTGAGACAAAGCCTATTCAGAACTGAGAGATTCAGTTACATTAAAGAGATACTGCTCAGGCCTCTAAACCCAACACGACTTGGGAGAAGCAGGCGTGTTGGAAGCAACCCAAGTGTCTTATCTGCAACCCTGAGGAACACTTGTGAAGCACTGAGAGAACTCAAGATGAAAACATTGAGTCCCTGCCCATGGCAGGGGGTTGGAACTGGATGATCTTAAGGTCCTTTCCAACCCAAACCTGTCTGGGATTTGATGAAATATGCACAAATATTGCAGCACTTTCTCTAGACTCCAATTCCTCTCTCAACCCATTTTAAATTCTTGTTGTGAATGCAAATATAGCCAGAAGTATGTGGAAAACATCTGCCCATTGCATTCTTAGCTGCCCATTTTGAAGGAGGTTTCCTCTCACATACTGAAGCACAGACAGATGGCCAATCCAGCTGTGGCAGGTGTGTCAATTTAGTTAGCGTGCCAAAAGCAAAACCTGACCTCTGGTCACCTCAAAATCTCTGTTATTTGGCTTCAATATTGCATTTACTGGAACTCAGTACACTGCTACAGGATACAGGATGATTCCAGCAAAGTAAAAGCTCCGGAAGATCGTGGAAGGCTCCTGACACTGCACAACATATTCTTGCATGAGAGACCAGTTTGAAGCTGTAGAGATTGTGGAAACCGAAGCAAGATCCATTCATTTTCTGAATTCTTAACACAGGTAAGTCCATCCCTCAGTGCAGAAATGCTGATACCTGCATGTAAACTGCAGAATTTCTCCATCTTCCCTTTCCTGTCCAAGTTTTGACTCTGTAATGCAGACAGCCCACTGCAAGTGGGAGAAACCTCATAGACGGGATAACATCTTTCTGGTTTTCTTCTTCAGGATCTCCCTGGCTCACAGTTTCCATAGACATAGTGCCGAACACTAACTTGACTGTGAGTCTGACTGGGAACATCCAAGTCCCTGACAACTCTCCCACAGGGTCCAGGATATCTGCTTATACTCTGGTTGACAAGTTACTACTTGCTTTCCCATCTTTTCCCTATCACGTGCCTGGTTTTGTTCAATATCACATACTGAAAGAGCAACCTCCCCCACCTCACAAAAAGCAAACTCATCTTTCTATCATATCCCCTAAGATGTTACTCAAAAGGGGAATATAAAGATCCCTTCAAGCCTTATATAGGCAGTCATCAAAACTGCAGGAAAGCACATAGTGACTCCCTACAGGTAACTCTACCTCAGACAGACCTCTCCGTGTTTCTCTCCTTTTCTCCTGCTAAGTGTGTGACTTGATAAAAGCCTTTTGATGATATAAAAACAACCTGACTAACATTTGGATTTTCAGGAGTAAACCAACCACCACCACAGTGAACACAGTGAAATAGTAAGAGAGTCGTGACCTTCCAAAGAACACTCACGTTCTGGTTGGAATGTAGGAAATACAAGTGTTCACCATGAGAAGAGCTTCCAGGAAAGCAGTCAAAATGAAAGTGCAACTGCCTTCCAGCTGAGGGTGTGGTGCTGGAACACAACATGCAATGTCAGAGCAATTCAGACCATTTCACCGACGCACATCTCACTCGCAGTACCTGCTACTAGTCTGCTGACAAAAGAAGGTTAGTTTTGCTTTATTATTCACTGCTCTGTATATTAAATGTGATATACTTATCTTGTTTATATAGAGAAGAGCTAGGATTTACTTAGTTAAGTTGGCTTTACAGAGAGATGTCATTTCACTAAGGCACATGCTCATTTCCAGTCTTACAGTTAGAATTGTTAGACTGGAATGCTGCTTAATTCACAAAAGGAAAAAAAAGCTGTCTGTTTAAACCGGGGATATTAACTTAGTTCAATGGGTAGACATATAATCCCCTGTGAAGTTTAAACACACAGAAACAATGAATTATTATCTAACTGGAAGGCTGGAATAATTCTGCAAGAAAACATGCAAAGCTGCCTGTTAATATATCTATTAATGTACCTCCTAGATAACAGTACTTGGTAACAACAGCTTATGAGCTGTTTGGGTACTTGTGGGCGGTTCTGTACGTGACAAGATTCTTTCCTGTGCATAACATCCTGAGAAGTCTCCAGCTGTAAAATGCAATGTACCCACAGCAATTTGATTCTTAAGGAATTCCACGTGGGAATAAGGTGGCTCGCTTTGTGGGATGGAGACTAAACTAAGCTTATTCCACCACTGCTCAGCACCTGATTCCCATGGGACTGCTCTGCTTTCTGTAACAGGCATATATGTATAAGCGTGCCTGAGAAACAACGTTAACAGGAGTGATAAATATGAATAGGTATGTTAGCCAAAACATGTTTTTAAGGGGAAAATATCAACTGTTGCATTTTAGATAAGTTAGTTTCTGTCAAAATCTCAGGTCAGACAAAAGCCTGCCAGGCAGCAGCACGTTCCTTGTCACCGCCAAACTGCTTTGTGATACGCAGCTGTCTTGAAGTTTGCACTGAAATGTTTAGTGTTTTGCTTTCAAGCCGATTTGCCAGTGGTCCAATTTGATTAAGCTTTCCCAGCTGGGTTCTGTAATAAGTGTTTTAGACCAAAACCAAACCTTTAATCTTCGCTAAGTGGCTTAAACTCTCCCTGCAGCAGTTTCTCATCTGATACATTTACTGCTGATGCCTGAATCTCCCCTCCAAATACCATAAACCTACAAAAGATTACCTCTGCTGAAAAATTCAGCTTGTTAGGCATAGATTAGACATCCCTTGCCAAAGTCATGAATTACTGTGTTTTTCCATTCCACACACCTTGTTTAGGCCACAGTAAATGACAGATTACAAGACTTAAAATAGGAGTAATCACTGCTTAAAGTTTATCTCAGGAAGTGTTTTGAAATGCTAAAATAATCCAACAGTCATTAAAGATGAAGCCAATCCAAGTAGTTAATTTTGAACAGACTCTTTGAAACAACTAGATAGTATTTTCACTGTGGGGGGCGGAGAGGGAAATCAAGCAAAACCAGAAATCATCCATTTCTCTCAATTTAATTGGTCTGTATCCCTGACTATGAGCTCAGTCAGTAACTTATTTTTCCTGGTAGACGGAAGAGATGAAAAAAAATTTGAAGAGATACTGCTTATACCAAAGGTTTGCCAACCCTTCATTTAAAACTTGTCTAAAAACTAGAAATGGTATTTGGAGATTTTTCAAGCTTGAAAAAGCCAAATTAAGAGCTTTCAGTAGCAATGACCTGAAACTCTGAAGCACTGCAGAGGATGAGAAGGGAAGATGTGCTTTTCATTCTCGGCTCCTTTTTGCTACTGCTTTTACAAAATCTTAATCCCATTTATTCCAAGAAAAAAAGGCACTGCAGAACTGTAGTTTACAATGGAAAGAATTTCAGCAAATTAGTCAATGAATGCAATTATAGGAAAAGAAGAAAATACTGTAGGGCGTGACTTGCTTGAGACACAATCATACAAACACTCAAACTTCAACTCTAAACTGGCACTGAGAATACAGCCTTAGGGTTTACAGAGTAAATCTGTCACGAGATAGCACTTGGAAAAGCAGCAGAGCTTCTGAGCTGTTTGGGTACTTAAGGGCAGTTTTGTATGTGGTAAGATTCCTTTCTTGTCATAACATCCTGAGAAGTCTCCAGCTGGAAGATGCAGCATACCCACAGCAGTTTGATTCTGGAAGGAATTCCTTGTGGGCATGTCTCACTCTGTGTGGGATGGAGACTAAACTAAGCTTGTTCCACTGCTCTTTAGCAACCAACACCACTGCTGTGCTTTATGTAATGGACATGTATACATATGTATGCCTGAGACACATATTTACACATGCCCACTCTCCCTATATTGTACTCATATCCCAAATTTGCCAAAAATTATGATAGTAGGCACAGAATCCTACTGCTTTCCTCTCAGCTTTAATCTGTTAGTATTTCTTATCCACTCTATTGTAATAGCATTTGCAGCCTTCAACTGGTACTCAGCTTTGCAGAGGCTCTAAAGAGGAAGGTGTAATTTCAACCCTATAAAGGTACAAACAGATTTATTTTGCAGTGGAATATTGCCAAACACAGCTGAGTCAGTGTAGTTTAAGCAATGATGGCTCTTCAACTGAAATGCGGAAACCAGTGAGGTGCACTCAAAGCACCTTGTAATTTCAAATCCTAAGTTTAATGAAAGCATTTCAGTAGAATCCATTTTACTTTGTATTGCACAGACAAACAGACTCACAGACTGGTTTGGATTGGAAAGGACCTTAAGATCATCCAATTCCAACCTCCTGCCATGGGCAGGGACACCTCACACTAGACCATGTCACCCAAGGACCTGTGTCCAACCTGGCCTTGAACACTGCCAGGGATGGGGCAGCCACAGCTTCTCTGGGCACCCTGTGCCAGCGCCTCAGCACCCTCACAGGGAAGAACTTCTGCCTTAGATCCAACCTGAACTTCCCCTGTTTCAGTTTGAACCCATCACCCCTTGTCCTGTTGCTACAGTCCCTGATGAAGAGTCCCTCTCCAGCATTCCCATAGCTCCCTTCAGACACTGGAAGACTGCATGTAGACAGTTATCCTGTTTCATGCCTCTATCACGGTTTAGCTCTACTTTGATTATTCACAAAAGTACTCTCAATATCCAACTTCTTTAAACTTGAACCAGGGGTTCTTTAACTTCTTATCCTTAAATCCTTAGTAAGGGGTTTAGGTTTCAACAGAAATTTTACAATTTAATCCCAGTATTATTTCTTTGGTGTTCCCTTCCTCCTCCCTTCCCCTCCTTTTTTTTTTTGTGTGTGTCTTGTAGCTTTGCCATGGGCTGGGATCTGAATAACTCAACTGATTACTGGATGGAGGATGAGGAGGATGATCTCAACTCAGTTATAGATTACAATACGTATGAGTTCCTCTGTGAAAAAAGTGATGTGAGAAACTTCAGTAAAGTATTCCTCCCCGTGTTCTATGCAGTGGCTTTCACTCTTGGAGTTGCTGGAAATTCATTAGTGGTTGCAGTTTATGCCTATTGCAAGAAACCGAAGACTAAGACAGATGTGTACATCATGCATCTAGCCATTGCAGATCTGCTCTTGCTCTTTACTCTCCCCTTCTGGGCTGCAAATGCAGTGCAGGGATGGGAACTTGGAAACTCAATGTGCAAGCTTGCATCTTCTCTGTACACCATGAATTTCAGCTCTAGCATGCTGTTCCTGGCCTGTATCAGTGTGGATAGATACAAGGCCACTTCTGAATCCCAGGGTCACAGAAAAATTGGTCAACACTGCAGTGTTACCTGCATCTGTGTCTGGCTGACTGCCATTTTCCTCAGTATCCCTGAACTGATATTTAATCAAGTCAAGAAACACAACGATAGGAATGAATGCTTTCCTGTATTTCCAATGAACATGGAAACACTCTTAAAAGCAACCATTCAAATCCTGGAAATTACCCTGGAATTTCTGCTTCCTTTCCTAGTAATGCTGGTCTGCTATTCAGCTACTGCTCGAGCAATATTTAGATCTGCAAGTGCTAAAAAGTCTCGACCTTTCATGGTCCTGCTGGCCGTAGTGACTGCTTTCATCATTACCCAGCTACCTTACAACATTGTCAAGTTCTGGCGAGCCATAGATATCATCTACATGTTGATCACTGACTGTGAGACAAGTAAAACCATAGATGTTGCACTCCAGGTCACCAAGAGCATAGCTTTGTTCCACACCTGCCTGAATCCTCTTCTCTATGTCTTTCTGGGAGCCTCTTTTAAAATGCACGTTATGAAAATTGCAAAAAATTATGGATACTGGAGAAAACAACAACAGAATGGAAGACCTGAAGAGATTTCTATGAATTATGAAGACCATACTGAAGAAACAACTAGTTTCACTATCTAGATTCTCCACTACTTTCATCATCCTATGTAACCAAGGGAATTATTTACTAATATTAATTATATTCATTACTAGTATTGTTATACAAGGGTATTCTCTCAGCAGCTGTTTCTCTGCAAGTCAACTTTCAGATGACTTTCTGAACCTGCAGACTAGCCAAGACACTACAGAGCAGTTCCAAGTAGAATATGTTGATCAAAATGAAGCATCAGGCAAGAACTAAATACTGAAATTTCTAGAAACAACTGGAGACATAAGCCAGAGAATGAACAACCTGCACATGTCTAAATAGCTAATTAAACCAGAAACCATCAGCAATAAAGCAGCAGTACAAGAACATTTGTACCAAAAGTTAATAATCTTGTGTTTCTCCAACTGTTTTGTAAAACAGAGGGAACATTTGCCTAATAAATCAGCTCCATTTTTTTCCTCAGTTCCCATTCCATAGATAGCCTTGCAGCTTGAATTGAGGTCTAAGTTCATGGCTGAGAATTGGGAAGGGGAGACATTCTCTATGTACAGTCACTACATATGTACAGTCACAACAACATCCTCCACAAAACCCAGTAACTACCAAAACTAACCTTTCATGTTCCTTTTCCTGGTCACCCTAAACTTCCACAAGGCCAGTGCCCTATGGGAGGCACATTCTAGATCTCTGAAAATGCCAAAGCAGTGCAGTCAAAACATTAGCACAAATGTAAGAAAAAGTTAAGATAATCTTCAGATACAGGGCCTGGAATTTCTAGTCAGACTTTGTAAAATGAATCAAACACTGCTATAACTGTATCTACTAAAATAGATGGAGAGACAATAAAATCAAAGAATCCAGAAAGTGCACTGCCTTTCATTTATTCATATCTGTTTGTTTTGGTTTAGTGGGCATTGACATCTCTCATCATAGTCATTTATCAACCAGCAAAGGCTCAAGGCCTTGCTTGATGGATGAGAGGTTCTGACTCCATATGGAGCTCACTGGTTAGTGGGATTTAGTTTTTCCATGGAGAGTTCCCAAAGCTGTCCCTTGCCACAGTGCTGGCTTGGATTCCAGGAAAACAGCAGTTTTCCATGAGTCTCTGGGACCATTTTAAATATACTGAGTGGTATTACAGCATACAGTCCCTGTCTTCAAACATCCTGGGGGCTCTGACAACATTCCTGAGCTATGGATTACGAAAACCAACAAGAATGTCTTGTTTTTAGATACTGTTCCTAGTCACAAAATTAGGGACTGGAAGAAAAAAGCTCTGAAATGACAGAGAAGAAATAACAGTAGCATAAACAAGACACGAGACTCTTCTCTCTGGATGACAAAATCTAACAGAATTTCTGCCCAGTGTTTTGTGAAAGAAGTACTTGGCAGATGGTCTACACATATGCAATGAGTCTGATATATTTAAGCCAGAGTTAATATATTTAGTTAAGTGATACTCTCAGAAAGACAGAAGAGAGCACGCTTCCTTCACCACCAGTTTCGTAGTGCTAGAAAAGACAGACAGTCTTACCTTCTGGTGAGTGTAGGTATTGCACCAGCATGTATCAGTAGGTAGCTGCCACACTCAAAGGTACATAAAAGAAACATTAAAGTTTCGCTCCAGTTAACATCTCGGTTTATTTAGTTGGCTTCCAAACTCCCAGGGAATGATGATTTTCAAGTTGCTGTCACATATGTTGTGGTAAAAAAGTAACAGTACTACAATATCAGGGACATTTACCACTCTCCATTGGTTTTTCTGGGTCATACGAAATATAAGAAAATCACCTGCAACAGTCAGTCCAACAGCATAACAGGCTAGTTTTAAAAAGCAACCAAATTTTACTGTAACTAGACACACACAAGCTGCAGAGACAGCTTCATAAAAACAAACTATAAAGGCTACAGCCATAAACATTTAAGTTACCTGATAGAAAGAGGTAACGTGAAGTAAAATAGTAGCATTTATTCTGAGAACAAAATTTAGAGGTTCCAAAAAGAGCCCCAAAACCCCAAATGGGATTTGAGTCTTTGATTTTGCTTCGTAGGACAAAAGCTTGATTCTGCTCCTTCTGTTGTTTTACATTCTATTGCCTTTACTCAAGGAGAGACAGTCTTCCATCTCAGAATGAAGCATAAATAGTTTTGGTTTATGAGTCCCTGGAAAGAACTTTAGACTTAGACATTCTTATTTAGGGTTTCTGTACTTACCACTGCTCCACCACTTCTTGCCATTTATCACATAAGTGTTTCCATCTCGCTCAATGCTGCACTGCATATTGGTGGCATCACTTGAAGCCACATCAGGTTCTGTGTTAAAGAAAAAACCAAAACCAAAGCACTGGATTAAACATACAGGTAGTACTACCTCCACTAACATAGGGCTCTAGATATACCCTGTCGACAGTAAAACTGGTTTGCTCCCAGCAGAAAAGCTGTTTTCAGCACCTCACTCCACTGTGCTTAAAAGGCCACCTTCCTATATCAAGAGCCAGGTCTTCCAGAGATGCTGAATGCTTTCAAAATTGAAACTAATGCTGAGAAAGACAAAGTAAGTGCATCATATGTTTGCAAGTTACCTTCAGCTTATGTATGTTTTCAAACTTCTACCTATAACATACTGCAGAACTACACAAATTTAGTGACAATAATCATACTTGTACCTAATTGTATGTTTCTAGGGAACCACAAAGCACATTAAAAAAAAAAAAAAAAAAAAAAGAGAGAGAGAGAAGTTCTATTGTAAACCTGTTTGGTATAAAAAAAAAAAAAAAGTATTTTTCTAAGACTAAAGATAAACTGGAAATATATGTAAAGCAAACACTAATCATTGTAACCATGAAAAACCCTAACTATTGGGGAAGGGCAGCAAGGGTGCTTCACTCTGCCTCATAGATGGCTTTATATTCCAACACATTCACAGATGCACTGGAGATTTCTGTATTAATTCGTTAACACATGACAACTTGTAGTTTTGTGCTTTTTGCACATGCCATGTGAAGTGTCTGCCCATTGTCTTTAACTTTCTTCTGAAGAAAAATTTACCTGTCATGCAGAAGCAAGAACTAATCTTCCCTTCTAGGAGAGGCTCCAGCCACTCTTTCTTTTGCTCTTCAGTCCCATACATGTGCAGGACCTCCATGTTCCCAGTGTCTGTAAGAAATCAGCAGTCGTATTTACTTCTGGAGACACACAACTCACAAGGCATAAGATGCCCAACTTTTAACGCTCTCAGTGTTTTTTTACAGGGCACTGTTGCTGACCTGGAGCATGACAGTTGAAAACCTCAGAAGCAAAGAAGCATTTTCCAGTCTCCTCAGCTATTAGCGCATAGTCAAGCTGGCTGAGACCACTGACATCTGGGAGAAAAAGGTTCCACAGACCTTCTGCTTTGGCCATTTCCTGTTGAAAAAGTCAACAGAGAAAAACTTCAGCAATAAATTTAAAACAATCAAAAATTCTGGCTTGCTGCCCATTTTGTTCCTTCCTGCCTAACACTGTCCAAAATACCTGATGCCTTTTTCAATAGCGATTTTCAATAGCTAGTCTTTCAGACCTATTCCTCACAGAACCCACTTTTGCTTTTTAACCTCTCTCATTCATATCTCTCACCTTCTTTCACACACTCCCTTCTTTCACTGTTCCTCACACAGTTTCTTTCCACACTGAGTAACTTCTCCAGCAGGATATGCCAAATATTCTTACACTCCATGTCAGTGCCTGTTTCTTTTACTGGTAGAGTTCTCAAGAATATTTATTGTCCCATACCTTCAGTCTCTCAAGCAGTGGTGGTTTCTTCCATTTATCCTCAGTATTTCCATGTCCAGCATAGTATGTTATTATTTCCTTAGAGAAACAATTAAAAAGATGTTGTTTAAACGAAGAACACACGTAACATACACAAGTATTAACATGGTGTCTTTTCCAGACCTACACCCCAAGAAACCAGTAAAAAATATTCAACAGGTTTTTATTATACAGTTGGTTGCAATATAAAATTAAAGAAGGAATTGAAAATTAAATTGCAATCTATTCGTTTTTTAAGACTTTAAATGCATCATGGAGACGACCCCAATCCATTCCTTACTTCATACAGGGAAGTGATTTGCGGTAGTTTAAAGCATGTGACAATGACACTAGGAGGTCAGTGTTTTCTGGTGATACAAGTAACTGTTACCAACAGTATGCACAAGAGGCATGAACCCTAAAGTATAACAAGTTTTCCATCACAACATTCATATGCATAAGCCAGTTAATGTTTTTTAACTGAGAAAAAAACAAACACCAAGAAACCCCACAAAGAATACATTTTCTTTTCCTGTCAAAATAATTCCTAACAGGTTATGTAAGCAGTCATTCTGAACTAAGTAAGACTGTCTATCCAGTAATCCAAGTCTTTTCACAAGTATGTTTTAGTGAGGCACAAAAAGCTGGCCCAGAACTAGTTTTGGAGTGAAAACAAGTAGTGCCCTCTTCTGAAAACCACACAAGACAAGTTCCCAAGTAGAATTTCTAAGTCCTGATTCACAAGTTACCAGAAATAACTGAGGAGCACAATGCTACTCATCTGCAAAACTCGCATGACTATTTGTGGTTGGTTTGGTTTTAAAGCAAGTGCTTTAATTATAGCAAGGCTTCCTTGGAGAATCCAAAACGAATTAAAACCAGACTTTTAGGAAACTTTGCATATCAAGAGTTTCTGCTCCCAACCCCTCCTTCTGACAGGCAGATGCATTCATAAAACTTTAGAACGTTCTCTGCACCCAAAAATCCTAATTCTGCAACAAAAGCCATCTGTGCTTCCATGAGTCTGGAAGTTGAGCCAGACTTCCCAAGTGGAAGATTTCTAATATCCCTAGGCTAAGAATTAAAATGCTTCATCTCATTTTCCCTTCCACTGATTAGGGACTTCTGTGGATATGTTATTATCCGATTTCAAACCTTCACTGGTATTAGATATATTTAGGAATGAGGCTAAATCGATATATTGTGGAATCCCATTTTTTGGATAGAATTCACACCTTAAAATAAGGCAAGGAACAGAAACATTCATCCTTGTATGGTTAAAACCAGCAGTTCCCATTTTTCAAGCATCTTTCTGTTTAGTATGTAAGAGTTCTAGGGTTTTGGGTTAAAAATATTCTGGCAAATACCTTTAAACAGTAACTCTCTTTAAAAAGAGTAGTTCTTAAACTTTAAAAGGTTTTAAAAGTAACTCTTAATTTTATTAACAACACATACAACATTTTAATTCTGAGAAAAAGAAATGCAGACTATAAAGATTTCTGCTAATATTTTGCAATGTCACAAATGTCACTGCATGAAGATAAGGCTGTTTTGAAAAGCAAATAAATAGGGAGGATGTGACTTCTCTCCACAGTTTGACATGTTTATAAACTCTAGTGGTAACATTTTAATTTATAAATAGGTTTACTGGAAGCTTTTACCTTCTCAGCTGGATATATGTGCTGCTGCATGAACTGCTTCACCTTCAGCAACATTTCTTGGCCTTTCCTGCTTTGACGGAACAGCTCTCCAGAGGTGCTGTGATCTGTGCTACTAAAAGATGACCTAGATAAGAACATGAAATGCAGTTAACAAGTAAGTCCAGACTTTCCTTCATAATAACATAAGCTGCCTTATACAGGCATTTAAAAAGTAAGGATGTTGTAAAAGCTTTGCCTTGCCTTTGACCAGTAGTTTAGACTACTCTTTCTTACCTTTCTGAGAGCTCTAACCCTTTCTCTGCCAAAGGCTTCACAAGCTTAGCAAATTCATGACTGTTCTCTGCAGCAGCATTTCCAATGAGATATCTAGCATATATGCCCTAAAACCAAAAGAAAGGCATATATGGTATAATTAGGCACTTAAAATTGTCTCTTTAATAGATTGGTGATTTCCTCAATTATGAAAGTAACACTTAAATGCACATACTCTGAAAATGAAAAAAAATAGCACCCAGACAGAGTAATAGTGGTTTTGATCCATCTCCAATATAATGGACATGCTTGGTGCCAACTGACAACAGCATACACATATTTATTATCCACAATTAAATTAAATACCCACATACACACTCTTACTTCATATTAATACCAGGTAGCTTGTCCCACATTTGGTGTGCTTCAAATCATTAAAATATACTTATGCCCTACAATGGCTGAATATTTAATTAAACTGTTACTTCTGTAACAATGAACCAAGGAACCTTATTTTCTCCTCTAATCACATCTCAAGATTGGTCTCCTGTGCTCAGAATAAGCAGCTCCTTATCCATTCATGGAGGTCTCCTGGCCATCCTGCTGCACTTCCTTCTAGTCAGGATGCAACACTCCTGAGTGTGACTATGGCACCACCCTTCTAACCAGTTACTAACCTGCTAGATCCACCTGGGCCTTTCAAGGTCCTTCCCTTTGACCTGGAGGATCAATGAAAGCCCCAGAGCCCATAACTACCTTTCCCTGTATTTTGAACAAGTATTACCAACTACAAATACTCGTAATAAAACTATGTGACATTTCAGCAAATGTGAGTGTATTACCTGAGATATTGCTGCCATTTTAAAATATGACAAAGCAAGAAAAAAGTTAAAGTTGGCTATAGTAGTGCTGATGCCCCGGCAGCGGCAGTAAATGGAAACCAGTTCTTCAAATGAGGGGGTTTCTACAAAAAAACAACATAATATTTCAGAATAATCAACATTTTCTATTATTTTCACTCCTTATTCTTTAAATATTTGAACAGCTTTTCAGCTTTATTCCACTGACGATGTAAACATCATGATTTATCACTTCTCATGATGTGTGCTATAGATTGCTAAGAGGACATAGGAGTTGTTAGAATTTCAGATAAGCAGAACACTTCCTACTGCCCCTTGCTTCCAATCCATCACGAAATCAATGTCACCACGGGGCAGGGGGAGTGGTGGTGCTAATAAATGATAAATTTACATTTTCAATTCAGGTTTCTTCTATTATCTCTAAGAAAGGTTCAAAATAAACTTTTACAGAAGTAGCATCCTGTGGCTGAGCCACAGGTTCTTAAAACAGGACCTTAAACCTCCCTATTAGTATGTTTCCTCCAATGAAGAAAACGATGGAGAAGTTCTTTGCAAGTGCAAAATTATGTGCCTATTAATTAAACATTTAAATTATTATTCTAAAGTTAACAATAACAAAATAGAAATCAACCCTGGCATTCATTTCAACAAAAAGATTACAGTTTCATACCTATGGTGTCTTTGAAACCCAAGAGAGTTCCTTGACCCAAGCCCTTCACAGATGTAGGCCAAAAGTAGAACAGAGTGGCATATGCTAAATCTGCTAGAGGATGACCAGCAGTTGAAAGTTCCCAGTCCAGCACTGCCAAAACACGAGCCTTAGAGGAAAATAAAAACCTCAGGTGAATGTTAGAAGATAAATTCTCTCCATCCACAAATGTACAACACACTTAAGATCCAACAGCTTTACTCGGTTACTATGTGTTTAAAAACACACACTGTGCCTGTCTACAGCAAACACAGTTCCTTTTAGCACTAGGTAAGGCTCTGCAGAAAATTAATATTCACATAGGAACACAAACCAAGGCATTTTTCCAATGAAGTTCTGGTTTTAATTCTTCATTTTTGAGTAGTATTCTTCCTGTCAGAAACTTCTAAACTCTTCTAGTCAAAATATGATTGGATTAAAATATCCTAAAGAACAGTAGTAGTGACGGTAGGGTGTTTTGTTTTTTTTTTTGGTTTCCAGTCCTGTTGCACAGATACTCATGGACAAAACACTCATTTATCATGTTATGCATAGAGTAATACTTACGGCATCCTGAAGGACCCCTCCAGCCTCCTCATGATCCATGGCTACCTAAACTATGGGCAAAAGACTTTTCTACATGGTCATTCCTGCATATACAGTTTCTAGAGATTATTTAAAATTACCTATTCAAATTTTGATTGATTCTTTCAGCTACATCAGGAACAGCACAGAGTCCATGGGACTGCCAGAGCCTCTCTGCTCAGGGAGTCAGTCAGCACATTTAAGCCTACAGTGTCTATCAACTGATCTAATGTTGTCTATCAACAATTGGAATCTGTAGGATCTGTTGCTTTGTTGTGAAACAGGAATTGTAAAGTCTTGGTCACAAATCCCCAGCATTTATTCTGGTCAGAACACAGCAAATAGCATGGAAAAAAGATAATGAAAATGCAATTGTGTTGATACATAGGTAACACACATTTATTTCAAGAAACTAGAAAACAAATCTCTTCTCTTTCCTCTAAAGATGAATGAGGAACTTCAGGCTCTCTGTGATCTACATATGCTCCATAACTAAGCAGCTTTGGCAGATTTTTCTTTGCTTCCGCTAGCATCATGCATCATACATTCAGATCTTGTTCCAAAAGCCACTGCTGTTAATTGAAGCCATACCACTGATTTCAATGGGCTTTTTATCAGATGCTTATGAAGTGAGCCTTCAGTATGCCCTTAAGTTGCATTGAATTCAATAGGATTTTTGCATATAAAATGTTTTGTTCCTGGACTTTGAAGTAGGGACTAGAGCTAAAGCAAGTAACTACCTCCTGCAGTGAAAACCAGGACTGTACTAGGTAGCTAAGACCATACACAGAGTACGGAGAAGCATTAAGTTCTCCACTGTTCCTTTCAAAGATGTATCATGCACTAAAACACCCAAGTAAGTGTCCCATTACATGGTAGGAGTACAAACAAGTGGAGGACAAAAACCTACTAAACATGTACAGACATATTTCAAATACCTCTGTTGGGTGGAAGATGATGTTATCTATTCTGAAGTCCCCATGAATCAGGCTTTCTTCATTATCATCAGGTGGCAAGTTGTTTGCTAACCACTCAGCCAGCTTGTTCATGGCTGGGATATCTGTATGAGCAGCTGCATCATACTGTCTTTTCCAAGTTGATACCTAAAAGAAATACAAGCACTTCAACTGATACACAAGTTTTTCATGAGCACTGAATTCTGAAGCACACGCTTCTGGGCTTTGACTATTACCATGTTACCTCTGTTTTCTATTTCAATCCTATTTACAGAGCCCAAATCTAATATTATTCCGAAAGTGAATAAATATAATTTCCTGAGTATAGCAGAATTGATCTGAATGTAATAGTAACTTTATACTGTGCACGAATAATTGAACTAAGTGAAGGCATTTAACAGCTAAAATATGATGGTTACTTTACAAACCATTAATAATAACAATTTAGCTTGCAAATCAAACAAATCTTCAAAGACCTGACAAAACGAGACTTTTTGAAGAGCTGTACCTGTCTTCCACAGTATCCCGGTCCTCTCCCATATCCTTGGAGACCCAATGACTGTAAATCAAAGGAGTGCAAGTGGGCCAAAGTTTCTATCATTGCAATATACAAAGCAGAACGCTCTGCTGGGCCCACCTCAGGCAGGGAGAGGTCTCGGAAGATGCGACCCTGGAAACATCAGAAATCAGATATTCGGTGGGATGTACACATCACACAAAGAAGTTAAAGCTCTACATTTCAGAAGCAAAACCAAATGCAGTGAAGCAATGCTCCCTATGCAATCAAAAATGCCTTCCTCATTTATTGTATTCCTTGCCCAGGACAGATTAAGAGATTCACAGTAATCTCAGGTCATGAGTATATCTACTGGAAGGCAATTAAAATAAGATATATTCAGTAGATGAAAGTCTGAATTGGACCACTCAATCCGGATGTCCTCAAAATAAAGTTTTGAGGGGTGGCTGGGGGAATAAAAAGTTTCTCTATTGTCTCTAACAGCTAAATTCCAGAAAAAATGTCAATGAAGACCTTAGGG